AGCAGTAGAGAGTGACTCAGGAATCAGAGGGGACTTGAGATCCTCGCCAGAGAAACTGGGAATATGGTGAGGCCCATTGGCTGAGGTGGGAATCACAAACGGGCAGCAGGTTTGGGGAAGATAAGGAGTTAGTTTTGGAACATGTTGACTTCAGGGAGTAGGCTCTAGAAGACCACGTGCATAATTAAAGTCAGACACAGCCCTGGTTTCAGCATGCAGGGCTGTTCACGGAAACCACCTGTTAGAGTTCATTTTGTCCTTCCTGGTGTCCTTGTGTTTCCATGACTCCTCTTTTTCATATCCCAATGAAGCAATGTGAATTGTTTGCTTTGCACGCCAAGAACGAGTCGTCAAAGCGCAGGGAGAGTGGACACGAGCGCCGGTGAGTGGGAGAAGAGTGGTTGTGCCAGGGCCAAAATTTTCACTAGGAAATTGTTTTTCTCCCTAAGTTTGTGTCAATCAGTCATACTCTGTTTCTCTTCCTTTCAAGATTCCTCCCAAGTCTCAGTGCTGACCTGCCCTCATGAGCAGGCTGAACACTCCAGACAACACTGCTTCTTCGCGCTGAGCCCCTGGGGCACTTTGAAGTCCACAGTGCACACATTTTTCACATAGTTTTGTAGTTTCCTCTTTGCTTTTGAACTCTTTGCAGGTGTACATCTTGTCTCCTTAACTAAATTCTTAACTCTTAAAGAGCCCAACTTATGTCAAACATTTTATTTTACTGTTGTCACAGTGCCTAGTACAGTCCCAGGTGCATATTAAGTTTTTAAAAGTACAAACTGGATTGAAACTGACATTGAATTTATTTGTCATAGAAAGGAGACTGGAAAACAACCTCCTTGAAAGGACATAGTATGAGAGGAGATAAGGTCGATGTGGGGAGGGAGATAGCGCCAGTTCCTACCATGCAGAGGAACATATCCTAACTTAAAAAAAAGCTTTCCCTCTCTTGTTGTAATAATGATTTTGCATTCTAAATATACTTGAAAGGACGAGAATACTGGTCTTCTAGGTGCCAAGTAAGTTGTCTTCTCAACTGGCTAAAACGTTCGTTTTCCTGAGACCACCTTTTGTGATCAACAATATTGGTAATATAAAAATGTGGAACTTGTCATTTAGAGTGAATTACATGCCGTAGTACTCGGTGCCACTCAAATGGCAAGACTGAGAGTGAATCTTTCACTTCCTATTGGTTAGAGCTCCATTTGTGTGGCCATCATGATGTTTGGGTAACTTAAAAGGAGAATATTCATGACTCAGCTCATGACATTTTCCCCAGGCAGAAGAGACGGAACAACCCCAAGTATTATGGTGGCCAGATTGTGTACTTGTCATATTGGAGGACAATGTCTATGAGAGAGGTGAGGAGAGGAGGCAGGAAGCTGGTTTTGTAAATCGATGAATCCCAAAGATTTCTGGGGCTGTCCTGCTACCAGTGCCTGGCACTCTACCATCCTCATCACATATAATATGGATCCCTGCTCCCTGGACAGCAGGATGCCCTTTACCCTTACAGGACATTGGAATAATGGGACCACAACTTGTAGCTTTCAGTAGGAGACACAATTAAGAGGAGAAGGAGGAGGAGGAGGATGGGTAGGTCAGGTGATGGGTATCCTAAAAGCCCAAACTTGACCACCACACAATCTGTGCATTTTTAAAAATTGCACTTGTACCCCATATATTTATACAAATACAACAAAAATTAAAGCACATCAGGTTCTACTCTCTGGAGTAGCATGAAGCATGCCCCCGGAGGTCAGCAAAGATGACGGGAAAAGACACTCACTAGAGTGCTTGCTTCACAGCTGTGCCAAGGACTTGACTCCCCATGCATTTCAGAGCATACCTTCCCCCTTCTGAGGTTCCCACGGGATAGCAGGGTAAACAGCAGGAGAGCTCCTTCTCAGCCCTGGTGGCACCAACGCCCCTTGGCTCTGGGTCACATTCCTCCACAGACTTCACAGGCCTCAGGTTACAAAGGCCCTGTTGCACAATTCTTGGGAGAGTGGGCATGGGGGCTGGGCTGGGATGACAGGCAGTGTCCTGCGCGTGTCGGAGATCCAGCGTGGCCACTTGCCAAGGCGCCTCAGGGGATGGCAGCAAGAGGAGACTCTGCTGTCCCAGGATCTTCAGAGAGGTAGCTTCCTTTGCTTTTTTTCCTTCCAAGTCTCTTAAATAAAACTTGTCAAGGCTGCATCTTCTCCGGTAATTCAAGAGAAAACATTTCAAAAGTTTACTTGGCATACCTGTGTTTCATTTTACTGGAGAGATTTGAAACTTCAAAACCACAATGAAGAATTCTGAAACTAAAACTTCTTTTATCCCTCTGTTTTTCACAATCAGCTTTCTCCTGTAGTTATATGGCGTGGTGTGTGTAAAATTACTCAATATATTACACAACTTTTAAAATTAATATGGAAGCTGAAAGCTATTACAACTGTTTAAAGCCTATGCCATGATGGAATGCTATTTCTTATGCTCCTTCTTGTTGGTAATTGCTTCATAATTATCTTTTATTAAAGGCAATCTGCATATAAAACCAGAAACATATGGAAAATCCTTACAGGAAGTTCACATTTTAGTTGGCTAAAAAACAATCTAATGACCTAGAAAATACTTATCAGACCTCTCTAAGGCTAATGATGGCGCTGATGACTATAAAAATTAGGTCTCTATTTATATTAAAAAATTCTTCATTTCATTTCATTTTCTTTCAGAATTTGGATGTTTGGACTGCTACTATTATATCTGCAATGAATTCAATTGGAAAAACGCTGAGTGCCTGCACCCAGGCACTGCCCGGGCTCAAACTTGCAGATTAATTATGGATTCAAGGCATATATAGCATCATGTATGCCAAACCCTGGACAAGTCTAAGGAGGCTCCTCCTATACTATCATGTTAATTCCAAATAGAATATTAATTCATTGGATAAGTCAGAGAAGGCTCATATAGAAGATATATTAGGTAAGTAAGGGTAGGTCAGTTACCACGGATGGATGTAATAGCCAGCCCCACACCTGCCAGATAAAGTGTTTACTCATCTGTACATTCAAGGGTGTACACACACATGTTCATAAACAAAGTATTGTCTACCCAAACTGGAAAAGACAAGGCCAAAGGAAGACTATATATTTATTATAAAGTAAAAATCTGGTAAATTGTATAAATTTTTTTTTAAGAAAAAAAAAAGGATTACTTCTAATCAGCCCTCAATTTACAGTAGCTAGTCAGTTTCCCTGGATTTATTTTCACTATTATCTCAGTCTTTTGAATGGGGTCTTTGATGCTTTTTCTTGTCATTAACCAAAGCTTATTTTGTATGGAGATGCAGAGGCTAGGAGAATACCTACTTTTACCAACAACCACACCAAAGTGATAAACGAGATTTCCTCTTTTTAGCATATTCTAACTTAGAAAATCAAAGAGTTAGTTCAAATATGAACCAACACATTCATTCATTGTGGGGCGGAGTGTATTGGAGAGGCCATCAGGCTGAGAGTGAGGGGGCTTAAACTTGAGTCCCCAGCACTAACTAGCTTGATCCCCTTAGCCGAGACACTTCTGTGTCTGGTTTCTCCTTCTGGAAACGAAGCTGTGGAATGGATGATCTTCCAGTTCCTTCCGACTCTAAAATTCTGCAGTATGTGACAGGCTGCAGCAGCATGTGACTAACACAAGGGTCAGGGAACATTACAGTCAATAAATGCAAATGGAGATGAGTTAGGACTTTCTGTGTTTTGTGGGTATTATCTGAGATTCAGCTTAAACTTCGTTTTCAATGGCTATCAAGGAAGGAAGCCTAAAAACTGGACCAATGAGATTTTAATGTTCAAGGTTTGAGTGGTTATGATTAGATCATAACCCAATTGTGAAAATCACAGTGACTTTTGTACAGCAGTTGAATGTGTGCTATAAAGTTAATGTGCAAGTGTATTTTGTTTTTATCTGGATCTCTCAGTTTTACATGCTGTGGGGACGATTACTACTTTCATAGAATGTGAGAGTATTGGCCTTACTGCTATGACATATTTATTCGTGATGTGTTGGAGGTCAAGGAGAGTTAGAATTGTGTCCTGTGGATAGAGATTCCATCTCCTCCTCCTCTTGTCGATGGCTGTTTGGGTCCCCTGTGGGTAACTGACCTACCTGTCAGAACAGGGACTCCTGCTCCCACTGAGGGAGCATCGCCATCAACTCTGACCTTGCAGGCAGAGCTCAGCGTGCCTGCCTGAGCTGTCCTGTGCTCCAACTCCGGGGCTGCAGTGTGCTAAGACCCAAGGGAGTCCACATGGGGATGAGTCAGGGCCTGGCGCTGGCCCCGTGCTCCGCCCCACTGGTAAACAGAACAGTTCTTTGCTGTCACTGAGAGCCTCTCGGGGCCCCAAGACTGCAGGAAGAAACAAGTATTGTAGAAGCCAAAACCCCAAGGCAAGGTAAAGAAAACAGAACTGTCCACATCCCCAGCAATGATTTCACTGGCGGGAGTTGCTGGGAGCTGGGTGGGGGGTCCCGTATATGGTTCCAGCAGAACTGTTTTACTTACTTCTCAACCAAAAGTCCCTTCTCTTTTACTGTTTATAGGGGTGGCCTTTTGCCTTTCAAGGTTTGAACTTTCAAAACTCAACCTTAGAGTCAGTCTTGCTTGCTAACCCATAACTTTTCACCTTTTATTACTTTTGTTTGTTTTTGTACTGGCTTCTATTAAAATACTTCCTTCAGTGAACTTATTTTTGTTTACTCTTCCCTGTCATTCCAGGGAGAAGCTATTGAAAGACAAAAACCTCTATATAGAAATATATCACCAGCAGCACAAGTGGACTACAGCCTCAGAAATGTCCTCACCGTCTAGCTTCATGACAAGCAGACTGGCTGTTGGCAGAATGCACCCAGCTCTGCTTCTGCTCGTATGGAACCTTACATTACCCTAACACAGCTGGGGCACACGCTATCTGTGCTTATACTGTTCTTCCTAAGCTTGGAGACACACTTGCCTTGAGATCTCTCCTCTTTTTCCTTTAGACATTGGCAAGTCCTGTTCCGAGCTTAGCAATGCCACATACCTGAACTGGAGGCATGGCTGGCTGATCCCTTCTAGCTCCCTCCAGCAGCGTCCCACCTTGGCTATATCAGTAACTGCACCTCCTGTTATTTCTCCTTCCCGGTTGTCAAGGTCAAACCTGGGCTGGATATTGTGATGTCACAGAGTGGAATCCTCATTCCCCCAGATGGTCCAGCTAAGGCCCTCCTGGACAGCACTTCCTCTCCTGCCCACGGCGGGAGGTTGGGAAGGACATTCCCCCATTTCCACTTGCTCTACCATTCAAAACCTTATGAGGGCCCTCAGGGGAGAATCCCCTTGCAGGTTATACTGACCTGCAGAATTATGGGATCTTAACTGTGGGGAGAGACCTAGAAGACCAGCTCATGACCAGATTCTCACCTAACTCCTTTTTTTTTTTTTTTTTTTTTACAGATAAGGAACTGAGGCCCCACGTGGTGAAGTGACAGAGCTGATTCTAGAGTCCAGGTGCTCTCAGTGTCAGCCTCTGCCATTCTGACCACGCTGCACTCAGATCTTGCTCTACTCTCTGGAGTTTGTCCACATCACAGTTTTCTGGTATGCAGCTCATCAGACAATTTTTACCTGAATCCACACATGACAAGAGACCATTTGGGTAATGTACATTATGGGAAGAGAACAGAGTCTCAGTGAAGATCATTAGTTTCCCTAGCAACGTAGATGCCAGGAGTGGCTGGCTCTGGTCCTAGTCTAGACTCAGAAATCCTAAGCACCAGACCAATTCTAGATTAACAAGTAAGGTGACTTCTGAGTGAGTAATATTTTCACTGAGATTTGATAATAAGCAGCAAAGCTCAAACAAAAGTCCAGAGTTAGTGTTGGCAGGGTGAGGTGGCTCATGCCTGTAATCCCAGCACTTTGGGAGGCTGAGGTGGGAGGATCACTTGAGCCCAGGAGTTTGAGACCAGCTGGGCAATATAGTGAGATCCCATCTCTACAAAAAATACAAAAATTAGCCGGGCGTAGTGGTGCATGCCTGTAGTTCTAACTACTCAGGAGGCTGACAGGGGAGGATCGCTTGAGCCCAAGAGGTCTAAGCTGCAATGAGTTGAGATTGCACCACTGCACTCCAGCCTGGACGGCAGAATGAGACCTTGTTTAAAACATACACACACATGCACACACACACACAGTATTGACTACAGCGCTATACCAGGTTCTAGTGTTGTGTAGGAGACAGGGAGGAGCAATCTGTAAAGAAATAGCGTCTCACTGGAACTTCGTTCTTCATTCTTTCATATCCTTCATTTTTTTCTAGACACTAACCCCATATGGTACTAAAAAATTATCTGAATTGCGTGAGACGACGTACCTGTGAAGTCAGAGAATTAGGCTTTAAGAATCTCTCAAGAGGAGAACATATATTGGGCTTTTATAATACTGATAACATTTTACATCATGCTTCATTTACAAGCTATTTTCACACATATCACTCTATTTAATCTTCACAACTTGGTGAGATAACCAGTATTATTTTTAGTATAATTTTATGGATGAGAAAATTACAGCTTAGAGAAGTTGTGTCTTGCACGATATCACAAAGCTAATTAAGTGGAAAGGTTACTTAACATTAACTACAAACCAGATCTTCCACCAAGCCTTTTCCCCACCACACGCCTTCGCTGGTTGGGGAGAAATTGCCATTTGGTCCCAGAACACACTTGAAGGCCACTGCCTTAAGCAACGCTTTGAGTAACAAGGAAGAAAGTATTCCCACAGGTCATAAATGCTGCTTTACTGACTTCCTAAATGTCTTCATAAAAACTTAGGGAAATGATTAATGGACACCAATTTTAAGCTTTAAAATAATATAATTATTACCCTTCCATTCAACAATTCCACATCTGTGAATTCTCCTAAGAGAACCATTACGGATATGAAAAATATTTAGCTACAAGAGGTTTTTTTGAAGCACTGTTTATAACAGAAAACAAATATAAAGCTCAACATTGGAAAAGTGTTAAAATGGATTATGCTGAACTCATGAAAATAATGTGCGTTTCCCACACTTTGATTATTCATGTGGCATCTTCAGAATATTGGCATCTGCACTAATATTTACTTAACATTTTTCCTTTAAATTAATTCACACATTTTACTGGAATAAAATTATTTAAAGGTTTTTTTTATTATTAACGTAAGTAGAAATACAGTATTAATTGCCTTAAATGTCAGATGACAATAAAAACAAATACAATGAAAACAAAGTAATGTTATGAATGCATTAATTTGGTCCCAATACCTTGAAGAAAACACATGACTGATTTAATAAAATCACAATTAATATGCTTTTTTGCCATCACAAACTTCACCTTTCTACATTTAAAAAATCTCTTTTTTCACCTCTGATCTAGACAAGGTTCAATGGAAAGAAGAAATGCAGTGTGTGTCTGATCCCAAATCACAGTTAGATATATTTATGCATACCTTACATTCTAAATCAGTAATTCTCAAAACTTGCTTGAAAGGTCACCTTGCTTAGAAGAGGGTATTTCCCTGGCAGAATATGCAGGGATCAAGGCCTCTTTGCTCAAACAGTCTTCCTCCAACTATCATCTCAGGGCAAATAAAGATGACATCTTTCCTTGTGTTTTGTCTTGGCCAAGCATACTCAATGCTGTACATTCTGTGGAGGTGTGGATTATGCCGCATCCCTTGAGCATACATCCCTGTGATGAAACAGGTGCACACCTGTAGCAGAGTCAAGCAAAGCCTTACACCTGGAGCACACAGAGGCTCCAGGTCCCCACGGCAGTGATGAGGGAAGCCTGCACACCTCTTCAGAAGCAGGCATTCTGCAGGCTGAGTGAAAGTTATAGATATTTGTAAGTCAGAGTTCAAAGGTTTTTGCTCAGTTATGGAGAAGGATTTTGTAGGGGGAAATGCTAATTTTGTCAACATTTAAATTCCACTTCAAGGCAGAATTTCTCAAATTGTGTTCTACAGACTATATATATATATATACACATATATATATACACGCAGATTCCCACACAGCTTCCTGCATTTACTGCCTCCAAATCTCAGGGACTGAGTGAGAGACTCATGTTAAGTCAAGCTCCTCCAGGAGCTTGTGGTGTAGGTGTACACAAATACTGGAGAACAACGCTCTAGGCCAGAAGTTCCCGAACTTTAGAGCAAACCAACGGAGTGCCTGGAGGACTTGTTTTTGTTTTTTTTTTGTTGTTGTTTGTTTGTTTTGTTTTCTGAGATGGAGTCTCACTCTGTCACCTAGGCTGGAGTGCAGTGGCACAATGTCAGCTTACTGCCACCTCCGTCTCCCAGGTTCAAGCAATTCTCTGCCTCAGCCTCCCTAGTAGCTGGGAGTACAGGTGCCCACCCCCTCCACCGCCACCATGCCCAGCTAATTTTTTGTAATTTTAGTAGAGATGGAGTTTCACCATTTTGGCCAGGCTGGTCTTGAACTCCTGACCTCGTGATCCACCTGCCTCAGCCTCCCAAAGTGCTGGGATTACAGGAGTGAGCCACCGCACCCAGCTGAGGACTTGTTAAAACACAAATTGCAGGCCCCACCCATCAAGTTTTTGGTTTTGGATATCTAGAGTGAGTCTCAAGACTTGACAATTTTAGCAGGTTCCTAGGCCTGATGGTGGACACCAGACTTTGAGAGCTACTGCACTTGGACCAAGAAATTGAATGTACAGTATAGAGTGCTCTCGATAGTAGTACAGAATGTACAGTATTGAGTACACTCTAAAGGCATTTCCACAGGCCTAGGAAATGGAGTTTGGACCTTGGGTCTTTACATATTCAGAAAAGAATTGGTATAGAAAGGAATTTTGTTCTTATTTTGCTTTTGGCTTTTGTTCTTTAGGATTTTTTCTACAAATAATTTTTATTTTTCCACTAAAATGCTTGTAGTCTTATGTCCATACATTCAGGATTCTTCAAGATTAAACAGAATCACTTTTCCTTATTTTGTACCTTTTAAAATAAGGAAAATGAAAATGAACACAATTGATGTCTGACTTTTCAGATGCCTGCATTAATTTGATTTCAGTGACCCACTGGAAACCAGTGTCAGCATAACAACAGTTACCAGAGCTAAATCTACAAAGTAGGTAAGGAATATAAACAGACTAAGCGCTGGAGATTTTAATTAAGCCTAGTGACTCTGAAGTTGGACTCTCTCTTAAAAGATGTTGAGAATTCAATGTAATCCTGAAAAAGTACATCTAAATTCAGGAATTTTTACCAACCAAATACTTAACGCTTAATAGAAATGGAAGTGTGCCTATAGAATCAGAAAGATCTTTCTGTTGAATCAGAAACATATTGCTAATATTTGTAGCTATGGGACCCACCTCATGTACACACAAAATCATAACATTTTCTTAAAACAAAGGTAGTACTATATACCCCAACAGAATTCTTTTTTTTTTTTTTTTGTATTTTTTTTTAGTAGAGACGGGGTTTCACCGAGTTCGCCAGGATGGTCTCGATCTCCTGACCTCGTGATCCGCCCGTCTCGGCCTCCCAAAGTGCTGGGATTACAGGCTTGAGCCACCGCGCCCGGCCAGAATTCATTTTTAAGGAGTGCTAATGTAATGACATTATTAAAACAAAATGTCAGCCAAACTGCAATAAAGCATTTCCAGGCCAATAAAAGTAGTTTGAGTTGAATGCTCTAAAAGTATTGGCTTTGAAAGGTTAAAATAATAAGTGATCATAGATCCAAGAAATACAATGCTCAAGTCATTAGCAGAGGCATTTTATGCTGTATTGTAAGTAAAGTGTAAGGGATGTATCAGTTTAGATCCTATAACGTGATCCCTTTAAGACCAGTGCCTGCCCTTTCTATGTGGCTCTTCTCTGAAGAACAGAGAGTTATATATGGGACCAAGAACCCACGTATTTTAGAAACTAAAAAAAAAAAAAAAAGTTATATTTGACTTTGTGATACATTTGTGTGATTCCATTCAGACATAACTGTCTGATATTTTGGAAGTGCTTTAAACCAAACATGAGACACACTGTGAAGACCTACATTCCCAAAGATTGCAGCTAATATTGGTCTAGCTTTCCCAGTGAGTCCC